GCCTCAAAATCCAATCAGTTAGATTCAATTACATTAAATTTCTCCAGCCAGCAGCACTTTAACCAGGAAGGGCCCTCAGACGACCATTTCTGAGTTTTTGCCCTCTAAATTTTCACCGGAAATGTGTCAGCTTCAGACTGAGGGGTGACTCAGATGCCCGTTTTCGGCTTCGTCGTACGGAAGTGCCCACGCAGTTCTACAAAAAACCAGCATCCTTTTCCATCTTTCCTCCTTTCCTTCTCCGGTGGGTAGTAAAATTAAATATCTTGATGTCATCCTGCAGCTTTGCTTTGCATTTTCCTTTTCTGCCTGATCACCTGCGCTTCACATTCATGACGGAAGCTCTCAGCCAACCCATTTTTCCCCCTTTCAAATACACCCATTGCATTCCCACAACACGATAACCCCTGCACCCAGGTCAGCCAACGATACTTGCTAGGCTAAGACAGATTGCAGGAGAATCTGGGTGATGGTGAAAAAGCCTCCTGTTGTTTAAGCCTTCAGCTTTCCCGATGATTAAAATGGGTTGCCTTGCAAAGCGTCTGGGATCGGCGAAGTCTGCGGGAAGCACGTCACGGCCTGCCGTAAGCAAAACAGCTCCTCCGTTCAGAAGCCATTAATCATTGCACTTTCCAGGATGATTTTCTTAATTATTATTATTTTCCTCCCGTCTGGCCTATAATTCTGCGATTCCTGGTTGCCTCCCATCCAATCCTAGCCACCTTTCCAAGCCAGCCACGATCAGCCACCTGCTCCCACTTTTGGAGACGTGCCCAATGAAGCCTGCGCCGTATTTCCCGCGTATCCTCGCGTGTGTAAGCCCATCTGTGGATGAGCCGACCCTCGAATTTTTAACCAAAATTCCATGAAAAATGTGCCACTGTGGATAAACTGACCCGCATTTTTCATGGTATGTTGGTTAAAAATTCGAGGGTCGGCTCATTTGTGGATGGGCTTATCCGCAAGTATATATGGGAAATCCGGGTACAGTACTTTAAAAAAGTTTTACCAATATCAGAGTTTCTCAACCTTGGCAGCTTTCAGATGGGTGGACTTCAACTCCCAGAATTCCCCAGCCAGCCATGCTGAAAAATTAACCATCTTTAGCATTAACATGTTCACTTTGTTGCTATTAGATAATAAGATAATCAGTGAGTTTATCTCATTGCAAATTACTTATTCCATGAATGAAAACAAAGTGCCATTAAACCAGTGTTTCTCAACCTTGGCAAGTTTAAGATGGGTGGACTTCAACTCCCAGAATTCCCCAGCCAGCCATGCTGAAAAATTAACCATCTTTAGCATTAACATGTTCACTTTGTTGCTATTAGATAATAAGATAATCAGTGAGTTTATCTCATTGCAAATTACTTATTCCATGAATGAAAACAAAGTGCCATTAAACCAGTGTTTCTCAACCTTGGCAAGTTTAAGATGGGTGGACTTCAACTCCCAGAATTCCCCAGCCAGCAACTGGGAGTTGAAGTCCACCCATCTTAAACTTGCCAAGGTTGAGAAACATGGCATTAAACAGTCCTCCTTTGCTTAAGGCAGGCAGGATCATGTATTTCCCCAATAGCAAGGCCATCTCACACAGTTTGCAAGGAAAACTTCCCCTTTTAACCGTAACGTAATTCCGAAGTCTAACCGACAGGAAGCTCACTTTTTAAAAGATTGCCAATATGTTGCTATGGTTCATCTGATACCTTTCAGAAAATCAATGACAGTTTGCCATAGAGCTGGCCTCTGGTGCCACCTAGAGGCGCATTCCCCACCTGCGGGCCTTTAATTTGCTGGCTGAGCAAGATGGTTGTTGAAATCATTAGCATTATTCATGCAACCTGTTTGTGGGGAGCAAAGGATCATGGGCAGGATCAAGCATTCCCTAAACCAGTGTGTCTCAACCTTGGCGGCTTGAAGATGGGCGGACTTCAACTCCCAGAATTCCCCAGCCAGCCA